CTAAGACAGGTTTAGTGAGTGAGTGACTATGTGGATGGGTGTAGGTGGGGGAGGCAAAGAAATACTAAGGATTTGAGTCTAGGAGAGTTACGGTATCACTGACTTTGATTTGGTCAAGTATTAATTATATTCTAGACACTGGGGGCTATAAAGAGCAAGAAACAGCTTCTGCCTTTCAGGACTAGTGGGAGAAATAGAGGTGCTTGTTTCAGAGGAAGATGAATTTGATTTTACATATCTTAAGTGGTAGAGCGTAGTTAGATTTCCCTGTAGAAGTTTTCTGCAAGCTTGGGGTTTTACAAGTGGAGCAGGAGAAAGACGAGGACTGGAGATTAGGTGTGGAAGTTTTTATCATAGGTTGCAGAGTCGAGTCCTGTGTGGGCATGGTTTCTTCGGGGGAGGAGTGTAGAGAGGAGGTGAGCATGTGTACGTGGTCAGCCTAATTTGATTCTGTTCACTACCGGTGAGTTGATATTTGATTCCCTTCAGGTACAAGATTCTCCTTTCAAATTAAGTTTAATCATCAAAAAAAAACCTTTTGTTTTTCACTTTTGATTGTAAAAATGACTTTCTTATAGAAGGGTGCATTTGGAATTACTTTCGTTTCCTCAGTTTGGTCTTGAGTCATAAATTCTGTCTCTTTCCTTGTTTCTTGGTAGGTGGTAGGTGGTGTTTCTGCTTGTCTATAACATGAGGTTTCAGTAAAAATAAACATTTTGAACTTGGAAAGAACTTTCACAGAGCCAGTAGAGCTCTTTCAGGAGACAGAGGATCTAAAGGCAATTTCTTTAGCACTATTGGACTCTTCCTCCCCTCGTGGGAAGTAGTAATAGTAGAAATTTGTTTGTACTCATTTCTTGCTTATTCAGTATATGCTGAGTGTTTATTTTACTCAATATATGTGTTAACCAATGATTGTTACTACTTGTATCTGGTGATTATATCATTTGAATGGAAGCCTTTGTTTAAGTCAAGATTGAATTGTAAATGCATAGAGATGTAGAATGAAAATTGATACTTTTGTTTTAAATGTTCTGCCTAAACTAAAGCAGATGCTTTGTAAATTCACCTAACTGCCTGGTACCAGTGTTTCCAATGGAACTCCTTTCTGGCATTTCTCCAGAAATTTATGTGTTTTTCCAAATCTCAAGAGATACTATTCAAGAAATCAGGAAAGTATTATAATTCTTCTGTAAGACTTAAAGCTTAATGGTTGTCATAGGGTCATTACTGGTTGAAGGAATCCACTGATTGCAAGTCGAATACAGGCCCAGGAAACAGTGACATATGAATTGTGTCCTGGGAACCAGATCTAGAGCTTGTAGGAGAGAAACAGTCATGATCTAAGCAATCAGTCTTGGTTATAGATTTGCCGTGTCTGTTGCTAATGGTGAGTCATTCTTGCAAACAAACTAAATATTGGTAAGTTTATGGACACAGTATACTTTATATAAATCCTAAGAAATATTTTTTTTTCCCCAAGAAATAACAAGTTTTGTAAGCAAAATAAATCTTAAATTGACAGTTTAGACGCATGCTTTCTGTGTAGTGCTGTTAACTTTTCTAGGACATACTTTGTTAGAGTACTAATGTTTGCTGGCTTTTTCCAGTATTTGAATATTTGCCATAGACTACAGCTCTTTGTAAGTACTTTAACAGAAGAAATGTAAAGAGAAGAAGATGTGAATGTCATGGAATGCTGTGACATAGAATCAGAAATTGATCTGAAATCAGAATTAATAGAAGTAGTATCCTTTTCAATGGCAAAACCAAATTCAGGACAATCACAAAATATTTTCATCATTAAAAAAGAAATAAACTTAGGGGCTGGCCCAGTGGTGCAGTGGGTAAGTTCGCATGTTCCATTTTGGCGGCCTGGGGTTCGCTGGTTCAGATCCCAGGTGCGGACATGGCACTGCTTGGCAAGCCATGCTGTGGCAGGCGTCCCACATTTAAAGTGGAGGAAGATGGGCACGGATGTTAGCTCAGGACCAGTCTTTCTCAGCAAAAAGAGGAGGATTGGGAGCAGATGTTAGCTCAGGGTGATCTTCCTCAAAAAACGAAACAAAAACAAAAAGAAAGAAAATTATCTGAAGCAACATGTAACCTAACACCTAGTCTGAGGTGTTTTTGGGAGTACTCTCCAGTACTTCCAAAAGTTGATATTCCATTCAATATCAACTCAAAAATGAAGTTTTCTACATCTGGAATATTCTTCACAAAACACAGATCAAGACTCTTGGATAGGTCAGTTAATGCTCTGTGTACTTTAAAATTTTGTTGTTAAGAATGATAACTATTAAATATTTGTGGTATTCTCTTTCAATATTTTAAAGGATTTTTATTTAGAATTTATTTTAAGATACCCTTCTTTTAATGTTTTCTGTTATCAAATGTCAACACCACATAAAAATCACTTTTACTTATTGAAATATGTAATCTTGTGACAATATATTCATAGTAATGATAAACCAAGCATTTATTATTATATCTTTTTGTAACAAACCTTTGAAACTTTTACTATAAACCTAATGGTACACTATTTATTGTTATGATCATTCATTATTATTTTTTCTTAAAATAGTTGTATTGAGATATAGTTCACATACTATACAATTCATCCATTTAAAATATGTGATTCGGTCTATTTTAGTATCTTCACAGAGTTGTGCAACCATCATCACAATCTAATTTTAGACCATTTTTGTCACACTCAGAGAAATCCCATACCCATTATAATGCAGCCAATCTCTATTTCCCTTAGTCCTCCTCCTCCCCCAGCCCTAAGTAGCCATTCATCTACTTTCTGTCTCTATATTGCCTGTGCCAAATATTTCATATAAGTGGAGTTATCCAGTATGTGGTCTTTTGTGTCTGACTTCTTTCATTCACTTAGCATGTTTTCAAGGTTTATCTCTATTGTAGCATGTATATTACTTCATTTCTTTTTATTGCTGAATGATACTCCATTGTAGGTATATGCCACATTTTATTTACCCATTCATCAGTTGATTTGAGTTTTTTCCACTTTTTGGTTATTATGAATATGCTGCTATGAACATTCATGCCAAATTTTTCTGTGAATGTATGCTTTCATTTCTCTTGGTTATATACCTGGGAGTGGAGTTGCTGGGTCGTATGTTAAGTCTATGTTAACTTTTTAAGGAACTGCGTAACTATTTTTCAAAGTGGCTGCACCATTTTACATTCCTTCCAGGAATGTTTGAGGGTTCCAGTTTCTCCACATCTTCAGCAATACTTGTATCCTGGTGGGTGTGTAGTGGTATCTCACTGCGGTTTTGATTTGCATTTCCCTGATAGCTAATGATGTTGAGCATATTTGCATGTGCTTATTGGCTATTTTCAGATCTTTGGAGAAATATCTATTCGTATCCTTTGTCCACTCTTAAATTGGGTTATACTAGACCCTTATGAGATACATGATTTGGAAATATTTTCTCCCATTTTGTGAATTTTTTTTTGACTTACTTGGTGGTGTCCTTTGAAGCACAAGAATTTTAATTTTGGTGAAGTCCCATTTATCTATTTTTTCTTCTGGACTTGTAGTTTTGGTGTCCTATTTTAGGAAACCATTGCCTAATCCAAGGTCCCAAAAATTTGCTTTCATGTTGTCTTCTCCTATATTTAGGTCTGTGATTTGAGGGGAGAATTCCAGGAATTGTGCTTTTTCATTCCTAAATCCTGAAGCTTAATATCTGTTAGGAATTTGGGAGCACTAGCTGGTACACAGCCTTCTCTGCATGATGGTCAAGGGGCCCTTGGGTTGTTTGCTCCTTTGAACAGATGGTGGCAGCAGAACTCTGACGAATGAAAATCTTGTTTTTCTAAACTTAGTATTTTATAATTATGAATCTTCTTAATGTTTTTGGCCTGCCTTCTGTTTGGAAATAGGTTGATAAGCAGTAAGTTTAAATTTCCTTTTAAGATTAAAAATTATTTAAATTTAGAGATTTTTTTGCCATGAGTTTATGCAGGCTTTTCAGGTTATGAGCTTGTGAGGTATGAACATGATTTGCTTGAGGTCTCCAACCTTAGGACACAATTTTCTCATATTACTCTAGTGTGTTTTATGCACTTTTCTTTCATTTTCTCACTCCTACCCACCATGATCTTCATGCAGAGATAAAGTAAGGGGATAGCAGTCAAAACATTGAGTAACGCTAAAGCTATTCTCAAGCTTAGTCCTGAAACACATTGGCAGACTTAGATTCTGGTTTAGAAAATAGATAATATGTATAGAAGTTAGACGTATGGGTAACATTTTTTTCCTTCAATAATAAAAACTGCTTTATAGCATCTCAGATTTGGACCTGAGATTTCGTTTTTAGATCTGAATATTAAACAGTAAGATTAGGTGGTGCAATTATTCCTTGACAGTCGTTTTCAAGATAATAGAAATAATAAACGTTTATTTAGCACTTACTGTTTGCTGGGCACTATGCTAAATGCCTTACCATACCTTGTCTTCTTTTACTCACCAGCTCTAAGAGGTAAGTACTGTCTTTGCCCTGAGTTTTCCAGAGGAGGAGATGGGTTTGGAGAAGTTAAAAAACTTGCCTAAGGTCACATTAGTAGATGGAGAAGTGTATCTATGTGTGTGTGTCTATATTGTACTGTTTTATGTGTGTTTAATTTTTACAGAGATGGTATCATATTATATGCATTACTCTGCAACTTATTTTTTAAGTTCAACAGTCTGATCTAAAGATCTGTAGCTCTTACTACTACATGTAGACCTCATGAGTATAGATTACTTTCTGTTTGTTTGATTTAGCTGGTGAAAAAGCTTATGTTGGAATTTTGCCTAATTTTAGCTTTTCGCTTTTCCACTAGAGGGTGTCCCAAGATTTAATTTTTTTTCTGTTACCAAAATTATGATAGTAATGGAGTAATTTATTACTTCTTAGTGTAATGATCAGAAAGAAAAGTTTTAATGCATATGACTGATATAATCTCCTTGTTTTACTTTTATGCTACAGGCTACTCATTTTTGGATCCTATGACAGAGAGGCAAATGTTCATTGCACACTTGAATTGAGCAGTGGTGTTTGGGAAGAAAAACAAAGGAGTTCTATTAAGACGGTAAAATGGATTTGCATAGTTTTACATCTGTGTAAAGTTTGTATTCTATAAGCATGCTTTTATTAATATTCTATATTCCTAGAGTTATTTTTGGTCATGTGCAAATAATTATGAACATCTATTATTTATTTGTCTTGTTGCAGTACAACATCAGTAATAAAATGAATCACATAAAATAATAGTATTCAGATCGCTTCCTTGTGTAAGAAACTTAATCTGACTAAGTTTCCTGCCAGAACTCTAAAATTGTTTCACGGTTATGGAATTGGAAGAAACTAATTCTAAACACCTTAGAAAGCATGTAAATTCAGAGCATTCATTCATTCAGCAGATATTTTATGAGCGCTTACTTTTTACTAGGCGTTCTGTTAGATGCTGAGGAGACAGTTCAAGACAAGAAAACACCTTGTTTTTGTGGTGCTAGTACAGGGTAGAGGTTTGGTGTGAGGGTTAGAAGAGAGGGGAGATGAACCACACATTATAGGATAGAGGTAGAACATAGCAGTAAATGAGTAAACCGAAGAAGTGAACAAAGTAATTTCCAGAGATTGACTGTGTACTATGAAGAAAATAGGGTTATGACAAAGGAGACTTTAGATCTGGTGATAATAGGGAATCCCTCTAAAGAGGTGAAACTGGAACAGACTGGCCGGCCCATGACACTGGAGCAGAACGCCCAGTTAAATTTGAATTTCAGAAAAACAATGAATAATTTTTTAGTATAACTATGTCCTCTATTTTTATTTGCTAAATCTGACAACCTCACACTGGAGATTCCTGAATCATGAAGAAGAGTGAGCCATTTGGAGAGTTTTGGGGGAATGAGGGAGTAGAAGGCATTTTAAGCAAAGGGAGCAGCAGATGTGTGAAAGCAGGTGTATTTGAGGAACAAAAAGAAGGCTAGTATAGGGGCCGCCCTGGTTGCGTAGTGGTTACGTTTGCATGCTCCACTTCGGCCGCCTGGGGTTCACAGGTTTGGACCCCAGGTATGGACCTGCACATCCCTTATCAAGCTATGCTGTGGCAGGCGTCCCACATATAAAAAATAGACAAAGATGGGTACAGATGTTAGCCGAGGGCAGTCTTCCTCAGCAAAAAGAGGAGGATTGGCAGCAGTTGTTAGCTTAGGGCTAATCTGCCTCACCAAAAAAAAAAGAAGAGGAAGGCTAGTATAGCTAGAGCATGATAAGTGAAGTAAGAGTCATGCCTAATCTTGTGGGTAAGGAGTTTGTATTTTATTGTTTGTGGCTGGAGAGTTTTAAGATGAGGAGTGACATGAACTTGTGTACATTTCATAAAAATTTTTCTGCCTGTATAGAGAAGGATTGTAGGAGGACAAGAGTAAACCTAAAGAGAGATCAGTTAGGTGGCACTTAGGGGAGGTGTTGATTACTTTAGGCAATAGCCGAGGAAATGGAGGAAGACTGGCACAGATGTTAGCTCAGGGTGAATCTTCCTCAGCCAAAAAAAAAAAAAAAAAAAAAAAAAAAGATCTATTTAGCATATCAGTAGTTTTTTGTAGACATAAATTATAGTTGTATTCTTTAAAGATGTATTTAATAACTTAGATATTTATTTCTATCACATTTAACTCTTCATGGCAGTGTAACCAATTCTATGATTATTATTTGTATCCAATATTTGGGAAAACTATTTCTCTATTTTGTCTTTATTATGCTAGTGAATAGATATTTTTAAACTGTATCACCTAGCTGTTTTATAGTAGTAATATACTACTATAGTTGTAGTGCTTTTTGGTATTTCTAGATTAGTCTGTTACTCTTTGTAGCATTTTTTAAAATAGTCACAATTCTCAGTTTTCTAAATAGGTCTGTAATAAGCATATTGCCGTGCTCTTGAAGAGTATGACTTTTATTGGTTATGTGCTATTTTTATGGATGTTCCTTTGACTTTTAAATTGTTTCCAGTTTGTTTATGTAATAATTGTTGTGAAGATCCTTAAATAAAAATTAAGCAGTGTCAAATTCTTTTGGAACAAATAGAGTAATTTTGATCAGGGTGGGAAAGTAGGGGGAAATAAAGCCAGAAAGGGAAGATGGGCTGACCCATCAGTTTGAATTTACGAAAGAAGTAGGGAGCTGTTGAAGATTTTGAGCATGGGAATGACGTAGTCAAAATAGTGGTTTTTAGGAAAGTATCCCTTTCTTTGGTGGTTGCTCATGCCCCAACTTCCGTTTAAGTTATATCTCAAGCAATTTACAAGCAACTCCTCAGGAATAAAATAACCAGTTTTACAGTTTGTTCTGAAATACATAAATACATGAAAAAGCATTATTGTTTTGTCTGGATATGAAATGGTCATAACTTGCCATGCTTTGCCAGTTTGAAAACTGGCATTTTCAGTTTCCTTTATTATGTTTCTGAAGATATGAGATTAGGCAGCTTTAATATTTTATATCAAAGGTTAGTGAGACTTCAATCTTGAGTCATAATTTTAGATCTTTGCATATGTCATAGGTAGTTGTGGAGAAAGAATTCTAGGTTACTAATTACATTTGGTGTCAAAAATGTCAGCAGAAGTTAAGTGTCTCCAGGCATTAAATTACATATGTCTGAATTTAATAACTCTAGGGAGCAGAATTAGAGTGTTCTTCAAGACCATGTAAAGCATTGCAGAGTAAGATTTGATGATTTGGGATATAGCAAATTTGGATAGAAAAGCATCATTAAAAAGGATGCTAAAGTATGCGATGAGCTTAGAAGCTGTCTTTGTATAAATATAATCTTCAGGTTTAAATCAGTTTTTTAAATTGAAATTTATTCAGTGAAGTTAGCCACTAATTTCAGTGAATATGCAGAATGAAAGAAACTTAATTCCTTCCATATCTTAAATGTGCCTTTGAGTTTTTAAAGCATTGTAATGTACCTTATCATGCTGTTAATAGGGTAAGATCAGTAATAAGTGGAAAGCTTTAGATTTGTAATTCTTGCGCAAATGTTGGGAAGTGGAGATAGATTAATTGTAATATGTTAGCTGCAAGTATTACCACAGTCTAATGAATGGTGACTTAAGTAAAAAAGATGTGTCTTGTATGATAAGCCCTGGGATAGTATGGCAGCTCAACAGTACTGTAATCAAGGAGCCTGGTTCTTATTGGCTTCCTCCTCCATCATCCTTAGCATGGGGTTTTTGTCCTCACAGTTGCAAGATGTCTAATGTGCTCCTAGGGATCCACTTTTAAAGAAAAAGAGTGAGGTCTAAGGCATGCCAAAGGCACATGTCAGTCAGGTTTTGTGCTTTTTAAATGCTTTCCTGGAATCTTCTCCCAGGGATTTCCACTTATAGCTCATTGGCTAGAACTGAGTCAGATCATCTCCCCTAGCAGCAAGGAAATATGGGGAATCATTGCGTTTTTCAGCCTTTGTAGAAGTAGAAGGCAAGGGGAAAAGATAATGGATGCCATTTAGGTGGCTAGTTGATGATCTTGCTGCAAAAAAACCCAATTCAAATGTATTTGATGACTTTATTTTTAAAGGAATTTTTCTTAAATTGGGATATCAGGGAATAGTTGAAAAGAATAACAAATAGCCTGCATAAAGCTAACTTGCTACCTTATTAGAAATCCAAGAAAGTTTGGAGCAAAATCAGACACTCAGATCAGTGCCTTGCTTATTAGCTCATTTGCAAAATAAAAGACCTCGTAGGATAAATGAGGTACTTTGTGGTGGGGTCTTTAAAAATAATAAATAAAAACAGATTCCTTATGGGAATCCCATAAAATGCGGAGGTGAGAATAAATTGTATGTTAGGCTCAAACAAAAATTAAAGGATCATCTTGCAAGAGGTGACAAAGTTAATACTAAAAATATGTTTGCCCACACCAAAAGAGACATGGCAGTTTATGATTTATTTCAGTCCATAGTGCTATGCAGATTTAGGATGATAATTTGCCTCCCTTTCATTAAGGAGCAAATTAAAGGAGTTTTCAGATTTTAAAAAAGTTTCAGGCCATGATATTTCAGTAGAAAACTATGAAGACAACTATATATCGTCTATAATTTAAGTGCTTATCAAATAAAATTCACAATAAAATTAATCTGACATATAAACATATTAAAGCACACGTAATCATTATTGTGTACATGGTGAAGCAAACAGAGCACATAAATCTCACATAAATACACATGGTTTTAAAGAGAGAGAGAGATCCTGAGTCTTACTCTCCCAGAATTAGAGTTCCTTCACCATTGACCACCCACTTGCTTTTACCTTTAGTTCCAGACATAAAATAGGTTGTCAGTAAATATTCTTTTCTCTTATTCTCTCTCTACCTGTTTCAGCTAACCTGCCTATGCCTATGTCTGTGTCTTCTATCAGTTGTCCACACTGTCACTTGATTCTTCAGACTGTTTTATTCTTTGTGCAACCTGGAAGGCTTGAGGCTATTTGGGGAGAAGAGAAGGCACCACGAAAATGAGCTGTGGAACCTCTGAATCTGAGAGTTCTGGGGTAGAGGAAGAGGCAGTGGGGACCAGCTGGCACCCAGCTGTCCTGTCTGGCTCTTTCCCTTGTTCTCCATTCTGAATAAAAAGATGAAAAGAGTTTTAATTTTGAAAACAAGCTTTTTTATGTACATTTTCTGATGCTGACCCTACTCCCTCTCCTTCCAACATACCGCACTCTACTGTCAGACACTTGATAGCAGTTCTTTTTCATAAGAGACTTGTCTTTTCTTCTATAATTAGAGAGAGAAGGTTAAAAATCCAAATAACTATTAAATCACTACATTAGCATAAATATGTCACTATCAAAGAGGAAGGAAGAGTATGGATTTCTTCCTGTTTTGAAGTAGAGAAGGAATTAGAAAGGAATCTGCTGGGTTCCTAAATATACAGTACATGGGCAGAAGAGAGATACTGGATCAATCATATGTTCAGTATAAATAAAAGCAGAAGCACTTCATGTCTTGTGTAGCCCACGATGCAGGTACCAGAGGGAACTGTGGTGCATTAGGAGATGTCAAGATATTTCAAATCTG